TGTGTGTGTGTGTGTGTGTGTGTGTTGTGTGTGTGTGTGTGTGTGTGTGTGTGTCTGTGTGTGTGTCTGTGTGTGTGTGTGTGTGTGCGTGTGTGTCTGGGTCTGTCTGTCTGTCTGTCTGTCTGTCTGTCTGTCTGTCTGTCTGTCTGTCTGTGTGTGTGTGCGCGTGTGTGTCTGTCTGTGTGTGTGTGTGTGTGTGTGTCTCTCTCTGTGTGTCTGTGTCTCTGTGTGTCTTTGTGTGTGTCTCTCTGTGTGTCCGTGTATCTCTGTGTCTGTGTCTATGTGTCTCTGTGTCTGTGTGTCTGTGTGTGTCTGTGTGTCTGTGTGTCTGTGTGCTGTGTGTCTGTGTGTCTGTGTGTCTGTGTGTCTGTGTGTCTGTGTGTCTGTGTGTCTGTGTGTCTGTGTGTCTGTGTGTCTGTGTGTCTATCATGTCTATCTCTCCGTCCGTCTGTCGGAGCAAACTAATAATAATATCATAATCGTGCAGTCCCAGGCTCCACGGCGCTTGTCATGCCCATTGTTGGGACTGCCAACGGCTCCAGCGAAGCAGAGTTTCGTCAACACACCAGCAGCCACGACCAGGCCACAAACCACTACCTCTGGCAGATGGCCGTAAACATCCCCCCCCCACCCCCGCCTCCTCTGTGTGTATTGGGAAAGTATTGGGGATGAAACATGCACTACGGGGCACCTTTACAACCACCAGAGATCATGGCCACGAGCTTCAGATGTTAAATGCTGTTAGGGCTATACGGTCTGCGCCTGCACCCAGTGCCCACTCCTCCTAGCTCGGAGACGCGCAGGGCGCTGTATGCGCGGCAGCATGACCGCCGCCATGACATTCACTTCATGCCAGCTACCGACAGGCGTGTGGCCGGAAGGTTTGCAAGCCACAGAATACGACGAATAATCAGCAAAGCAAGCCAGCAAGGTTGACAGGGGCCGCAGGAAACGTAACTCAGCCACACAATATGCCACTAGCAAGACCCGATGGATCAATGCATGTGGTCTCGCCTAACCTATTTAACTCAAACTTGCTTTAGTGGGCAGAAGCGACTCCATTCCCCGAAGGGCAGAGGGTGGATCAATTAATGGGCAGAAGGATTTTAATCACTTTTCTTGAGCTTCTATGGTTCTCCAAGTAGATGAAGTAGACTTGCAAGACTCGGGCAGCTTGAGCTCTTTTCGTGATCCAAGTCAGGCGTGCACTCGATGTCGGCCTGTTCTTGGCAGCACTGCACATCCTCGGCCTGTGCCAGGCTCGCTGGAATGGGAATCATTTCCATGTTTGTTAAACCCGTCGAAAGGAATTGATCATGTAGGGCTCCAAAATGAAACGCATCCTCGCCTCGCCTGTGGAATGGGGCTGGGCTGCAGCGGGGGAGATGCAAGAGCCTTGCGCATCGAATGTTTGCAACTGGGACATGGCCAAGGCTTGTCTGTGACTCCTTCCTGATGGCATGTGTGTTGCAGCTTCAAATCCATGTGAAGAGAGGGTTGGTTTTTTTGGTGTGAGGAAATACACTAAATACACAATCTAACTGTGCTCACCGCCCCATTACACTGCCATTTTTTCATCACGCCACATTGCATAAACTGTCTCCACACCACACCCACGCCAAACCACACGACAACAAACGACACCACACGACACCACATGACGGTGTGAGCCAGCACAGGGCCACGGTGAGCTTCCACCGAGATTTTCGTAGCCCATCACCGTCACCGCACCCCTGCCATAGTTGTTAAACAATCCGGGCTGCCTTGCAATTTTTGTTTTCCCGCCGTTGTGCTATCTTCCACGCCTTTCATTTTGCGTCTGCCATCCCAAAGTCCCAGCACGGCCAACACAACGCGGTCCCAGCGCCAATACAGCACGTAAGGAAATTCGACTGCACGCTACAGGTTGACAATTTCTGGCGCGCAAGGGCGCTGTTATTTTCGGGGGTGGAAGCAGGCATGCGTGGACAAACGCACACGCGTGTGCCCAAAGAAACATGCAACACTGATGCAACACCACATCGATTGCAAACCCCTGCACACAGTGTTGCCTGGGTATGCGGACCAAATACCAACGCACCAGTTTCAAGCGCTCATGCCGGATGCATGCAGCGCGCTCTTCTGCCACAACACCTGCCATGCAGAACCGCAACCCAGGCACCGAATGCACAATTCGCAGTGGATGGGCCTCCACCGCCAAGTGACAGCACCCGCTCTGCTTGGGTCAAACAAAGCGCATCAATGCCCAGCTGTTGTGTCCTCCAACGATCAGATGCTTTATCAGTCATTACAGTAAACGTTTGCGTTTCACCTTGTCGAAAATCTGAACCGTATGTTGCGCACTACTGCGAGTGAGTTGCATTGTTACGAATCTGGCCTGGGGGATCTGCAAGCAAAACCAGATGCAAGCCGCCGATAGTTGTTTTGCCGCGCCTTTTTGCGTCCGCAGAAAGCGTCCCGAGTCCCAACGACGGCAGCTACCTAGACCCTACGGAGCGCTAGCGAAGCGGCAGCCGACTGGGGGCGCTCGCACTCGCCAGGTCGAGCACGTCACTCAACAGGAGCGTGTCTGGCGCTCCAGGCATCGGCGGCATGGTCCACACGCCAAGCGCGGAACTGGCGACTGCTCGCTGCAGGGCAACCGACAGCACACTCCACCAGCGGCGCGCCCAGCCTTGGGCGGCAGACGCGCGCAAGGGTGGCGGGGCGCGCTGGACACGGAGCCGGAGCAGGGTGCGGAGGAACTGCTGGCACTCGTCGCTCCATCGGCCCCTCTCCGGGTAGCGCGCGCTCCGCGCCGCAACAAGCGCGACCCCCGCCCGGGCATCGGCCCCAGGGACGGGCCGACCAGCCCGAGTGAGTGGGGAGACGCTACGTTGCGTAGCAGCACAAGGCCTCGCCATTGGTTTAATTCAGTTTTAATTCTGTCAGTGCGTGCATCCCCAGAGCTTCTGATAACAGCTTTGTGCCTGAAGGTGTCCCTTCGCTACGGCCGCAGGGGCGGGCGACTCTGGCCTTCAGGGGCAGCGTGGTGGATGACGCTGTCGAGTGGCGGGCCCTCGCCAGCCTCAGGTTGCAGCGGCTGCCGCAAGGCACCTCCCAGAGCCGTACTGGCGACTGCCTGCTGCACCGCGACTGAAAGCATGTTCCACCAACGCCTCGCCCAAGCCGCTGTCGCTGCCGCGCGCACGAGGAGGGGGGCGCGGTACGCCTTGAGACGCACCAGGTCTCGCACGAAGCCTCGGGCCTGGGCGTTCCAGCGGTCGCCCACCTTGGAGCCGAGCACGACGAGCGTTTGCTTGCGGCGCTCAGCCACCCGCAGCACGGCCCCATCCATGGCCGCTGCGCATGGCTGCGGGTGCCCCGATCGCGTGAGCGGGGAAACCAGCGTGGCGTCGCAGCATCACGACGAGGTCGAGTCTGCGACGGTCCTGCGCTCCGACCTGCGGGGCGGTGGTGTTGGCCAGCCACTGCTGCGGAAGCCTGCAGGTGTTGCTGTGCAGAGGCAGAGGTTGTCGCAGGCGGCGCCTCAAAGCTCGGAGATGCCGGGCGGCGGGGGGGTCTCTCCCAGCGTCAGCGTGAACGCCCTTGTTTTGCCGAGGCTAGAAGCGATGCCACAGTGCGTCTCGACGCTTGTCGTCGTGCTGTCCAGGGCCGCCCGCGCAAGCTCTGGGACAGTGTCACGACATAAAGGTCGTCCAGGAAGGTTATCGTCGCGGTGCTGCTTGGCCGCGGCTTGGCAGAGCGCCTCGTGTTGTCCCAGCGCGAACAGCGCAGGAGCAAGGGGATCGCCCTGCTCGCAGCCTTCGCCTTGCGGCACGGTCCGACACGCCCCCGTGACGTCCCACCAGCAGTAGCTGGAGGGCTGGCCATAAAAAAGCCGCACAGGGGAGGAGCATGGAGGAGCTCCGGCGCGACCTCGCTGAGGAAGGCTCATATGCGCTCCGGCCGTCCAGCGACACGAGGACTGAGCCTGGGCAAGGACAAGGCAGCCCGCACGCTGGCGGCGAGAGCGTCCGCCCCCGTGCGGGTTTGGAGCGCGAACTGGTATGGGCGAGTAGCGTTATCGAAGACCTGCGCCCACTGTTTGGCCAGAGTTCTGGTGACAAGGCGGCGAAAAACGTCGCCCGCGGCTATGCCTCGCACCCCTCCGTCCGGCTTGCGCAACACGGTGAGGCGCGCCATGGCCAAGCCAAGCCGGCTACGACATCTGCCGTTCCAGCGCCTCCAAGTCCTGCAAAAGCAATTTCAAGTGCTCAGCCCTCATGCCGGATAAGCCAGCCGCGCCACCCCGGCGAGCTTCGCGAAGTGTGCTGGCGACTGCTCCGGTTGAGAGCTGAACGGAGCACTCTGGTTGGTACTGAAGCAGCTCAGCGGGCGGGGTCAGTGAGCGCGTCCCACGTGGCCTCCGTGCCCGGCGCAAGCTCGGCTGCCGTGAGTACCTGTCGTGCACGAGAGAGCTCGCCCTGCCGCACTTTGGCGCATGCTCGCAGGCGTTTGCGCTCGGACGCTCGCGAGCTCGTGGTCCGGGCCGTGCGGCGGCGAGAAGCTGTCGCCATTCGCCTCGTTGGAACGCCGCAGCCCGCGCGAGGAGCGTAGCCCGGCCTTGTGAGCCTTGTTGCTCCGGGCGTGCCAGCAGCATGCGCGGGGCGAGTAGGAACAGTTTCTTTTTTTTTTTTTTGTCACGGACTTTTCCGCCTGCGTGATGAAGGTCCTGCGAGGTCGAGTCACGGGCCTGTTGCCCTCAAGCCGGTCTGCCCTCAGGCGCGGAGGGGTAGCAAGCTCGGGCCAGTTGGGACCGCGAGCTCCAGCACCCGCTCCAGAGGCGGGTCTGCGTGCTGGCTGGGGTGGAGCGGGGCCGGCCACGCACAACCGAGGGCTGTGCTTGTGACCGCATGCTGCACGGCGACTCCGAGCATGCCCCACCAGCGACGCGACCAGCCGGCGCTCGCTGCTGTCCGGAGAGCGGGCGGCGCGCGCTGCGCCCGCACGCGGAGCAGGTCCCGGACGAAGCGTTGCGCATCGCCGTTCCAGCGGCCCCCAACCTCCGACCCAAGCACCACCAGCCGCTGGGGGCCCCCGCAGCCGAGCTCCGGGTAGGCTGCCAGCTTGCGGCGTTCCGCCACTCGTAGCACGGCCCCATCGGTTTCTGCCGCGCCAGGCTACACGACGACATCGAGCCGTCTGCGGTCGCCTGCAGGCACGCCCGGTGCTGTGGTGTGGGCCAACCACTGTTGTGGTACGACCTGCCCGTCGGCCCCCACCGCCTCCCGCGCCACGCGAACCCAAGCGCGCTCGACTGTTTTGGCGCGCCTGGCCAAAAGGCCCGTCCGTGGGCACGCGAGGGCGTGGTCCCCGTATTGGTCGACCCGCTGACCGCAGCCTGGTCCAGGGCCGCAACGGTTCGAGCACAGCGGCAAGGGCAGTCGCAGGCGTCGTCTCAGTGCAAGCTGCATGGCCTGGGGGTCAAGGGTGAGTCAGTTCCACGCTCTGGAAGCGTTCGGGCCAGTGCCCTGACCGGCCGTGTGCCGCGCGCAGGCGTGTCAGGGCTGACGTCAACGCGTGGCGGACTGCCGCTCGCATGAAGGGGGGCACATCCTGCAGGGTGGGTGCGGGGTTGCGAAGCTCCTCGCAGAGTTCGACTTCGTCAAGGGCTTCCCAGGCTACATCGCTCGTCAATGCGGCGGGCGGCGGGCATGCGGGGACAGCATCGTCCGAGTCGATGTCTGCAGGACCGGCGTCGCCGTTCTGATGGTCAGCCTGCCGGCGGCGCCGCGATCGTCTCGGTCTACGGCGTCGGTGGGCGGCGGGGCTGCGCAGGGGCTCGAACGTGGCGCGAATGTCGTCGGCCAACGCTTGGGCTGCGGCTGCGAGCGCGCCGCCACCGTAGGCCTCGAGCAAGGCGGACTGAGCGGGCGCGGAAAGGTAGCCGTCGGGCGCCGTGCACACCAGCACCGCTGCCGAGACCGGCAATGGGGCGTCCGCAGGAAGCCCATCCGGCTCCGCGGCCAATGTGCCAACCTCGACGTTGGCGCAATCCGCGGCTGCGCGCAGGAGGCGTAGGAGCGTGGCTGGCGGCACTCCGGGGGCACGGCGCAAGGCAGCAGCGAACTCTGCAAAGCGCGTCCCGAAGCCCGGTCCTTCCTGCCAGGCTTGCTCGGCCGCTCTCGTGAGGTGGCCGGCGCCCGCACGCAGCAAGGGTACAAAGAGCCAAGAGCAACGCTTGGCGGTCGCGCATCTTGCCAAGGCAGAGCCGCGTGTCGGGGTGTGAGGCGTGAAGCCTGGTGTGGCCTCGCCCGCCTGCTCTGGCGCTTGTTCTCCTGCGCGAAACGACCCGATGCCTGGGACTGGCTGACGTGGGGTGGCCGCCGGTGACGCGTACGGTTTTTCAAGGGTCTTCGTGGGAGACACGTGTCCAAGCAAAAACGTGGGATATCTCGGATGGGGGATGGGTCAGGATTTGCCCAGGCATGGCAGGAACGCGGTGTCAGGTTGTGTGGCAATGTTGCTTGGTATGAGTCAGCCCGCACTGCCAGCAGGGTTCCCAAACATGTCCAACATCCTGCAAGAACACTGCGAGCATCTTGACTAAACATTCGGAACATTGCTGAGATTTTTGACGCGTGCTTCAATTGAACTTGGCCAGAGAGGAGAGGCACTAATCATGTGTGGCAGCTAGGAATTGTGCGCAATTGGCCTATTGGTATAGCATACTCATCGCTGCAGAAACTGATCTGAAAATCGAGGGCACCGCCTAGCTCAAAACCCCCCAAAAAAAACGAGGCAATGGAAGACGTTTTCACCTTATAGAACGTGTTCACTGCTGCATGCAATGAAAAAATCAATAGCGTGGCGAATAATCACAATCAAACCATTTCGGTTCACTATCGTCCCGGCAGGCGAGGGTGCGTCCGGCCTCATTTGGGCGAGCGCATGCAAAGCGCGGGCGCGTTGTGGCGTGTCGGCGGTTCGCTCGCTGGGCGGGCCTGGGTTCGATGCTTCGCCGACACATCGTCCACGGTGCGGGTCATGCCCCTCGCCTGCACACCTAGAAAACGTCGATGCACGCTTGAGGTTGCGCACCGGCGGAAGAGTGTACCCGATTCGCGAGAAGTCATGCCTCAATCTCTTGTGGGGGTCCGTCAGGAGGTCCACGCGCGGCGGCGTGCAGGCGACGCGTTCCCCGTACGCGCCCCTCGTCGTCGCGACCGGCTGCTTGGTGAACACACGCATGTGGGCTTGCAGAGCTCCATCCTGACCGGGGCGCGCGAGTTGGCGTGGCGAGGGACGTCCTGCGCTGGCACCTCGTCGGGCTCGGTCCATAGCGGTAGCTCGATTGGGCCATCGCGGGTCCACTTTTATTTGGGCTGCAGGCAGCAAACATGCACAACCAGCAACCAAGCAGGTCAGCCTTTTTGCGCTATTGCGCTGCGAAGTGGCTCTCGATATTGGCGTGAAAATGTGGAGTTCAGCTGTTCGGGCGGTCAGCTCGCTTGGCTTGTTGGCCGCCCGGCTGGACTCCTGCAAAAAATCATGTCGGAGTGCGGCCTCCCTCTCAGCGGCCTGTGACTGCTTCCACGCCCGCCCTGGCTGCTGCAGCTGCCGCCCTCTGCACCAAATCGTCCTCGCCCGAGCGATTGTTGCCGCGCCAGCCTTTTTCCGGCCGCTTGCCATGCCCCTTGCCGCCATTCTGCTTGCCACCGCTTGGCCTGCCGCCGCCCGACCTGCCGCCGCCCTTGCCACGAGGCGGGCTGCGACTGCGGCCGCGAGGCTCCGCTGGTTCCTCACGCTCGGGCGTTGGGCTGCGAGACGACGGCCCATAGACCATAGCATTGATGGCGTCGACTGTTCCGACCAAAAGTGCCAAGGTTGCCGGCACGGCCCAGATTGTTTCTGCCATGCACCATCCGCTGTAAGCGCGCCACCTCCATGCATGGCCGGCAGCAGCGGCCTTCCACCTCAGCGGCACGGGTGTGGCAGATCTGGCATTCCATGTCTGCCATTGCCCAGTAAAACTTGGCCCTAAACGAGGGATGCGGACTACGAGTGGGCGAGCCGAAAAGTGCTGCAAGGTAAAAGAGCCAATCAACTGCAGCAGCGCATGCAACATGTGGCCTGCCGTGCGGTTTGCGCGGGCAACGTGCTCGCCACCGCGAGAAATAAGCCTCCCGTGTGCGGACATTGTTCATGCTCGCGCCGCGCATGCTGCTCACACGCTCACCGCAACATCGGTGTGCGGGCCACCTGGCGCTGCTAGAGCGGGCACATGGGTTCCAGTACGACGAGTGGACGACGCTGCTGCGCCAGCGATGGCCGATGACAACACTTGGACGGGCCTTACCGATCCCGAACGCCGCCCCCTCGAACCGTGCCGGCCTTTGCCACCGGCCCTTTACCAGCCGAGCTGCTTCGTTTGACAGCTGTTGTCGCGACGGCGCTCCGTGACACGCGTGGGGGCAGCGACATGTTCCCCGATCATTCGAAGGTCTTGTTGCAAGATGCTGAGGGTCTAGATTTGTTGACGTACGCAGCCACTGCCGGGGCGGCGTTGGCTCTCGCTCGCCTCATAACGTCCGTGCAAAGAACTACAGAACTGCTGTCCCGAAAGCTGTTTCGAGTCGTGAATAAGACCTCACGACATCCAGCACGACATCTATGACGACATCCATCCACGACGACATCCATGCTTGCATCGACGACGACGAAGTTGTACAAAAACCATTCGACAACACGAAAACATGCCTGTCGTTTGTGCGATCGCGACAGCCCACGCTGGTCCTCGTTTTTGCGTTTCGACATGTTTCGACAGCGTTTCGACAACGCGAAAACACGCAGGGGGAATATCGTGACACCCCGCACATTGTTAATTTCGCGGTGGGGCCTAGTGATTTTTGCGAGAACCCAGCAACGCTCGTAAGGTCACTGACGAACAACCTGGACAACGTCCAGGTTATTCAGCCAAAAATGCGTGAGCCCATCAAAAGAAAGTCTCTGTCTCGGCCAAGCGCCAAGAGTCGGTCGGGCTTGGTGGTGGCCTTGTGGAACATTTGCTCTCTCTCTACAAAAACATCCGTATTTATCGGCGAAGCCTCAGAAACACCAAAATTTCCGATTTTCAGGAAAAATCCTGAAATGCGCCTAAAACACCAAAACAGCCCGGAATACGCCATTTTTTCGGAAACTTTGGGGACCCAGTCAATTTCCACAAAGCCCCAAAAAACAAGAAACCCAGGAAAATCGCGGAGAATCGCGGAGAATCGCGGGGAATCGCGGGCGGGTCTGCGTAGATGAAAAACCACTCAAAAGCGTTCGCGGGCATTTCGCGGGCCTGTCTGCGTAGATCAAAAACCACTCAGAAGCGTTCGCGGGGCATTTCGCGGAGAATCGCGGAGAATCGCGGGGAATCGCGGGGGTCCCGGAAATCGGATTTTTGCAAATTTCGCAGAAAATTGATTCTCAAGAGATTTTCGTGAAAATCGGAAAAAATTGGTGTTTCGAGGATTTAGCGTTTGTCTTCGAGAGATCGCACAAAAAATACAGAAATTTGGCCAAGTAGCGGCGGTTTAGAGTTTAGGGTTTAGGATCCTCATCGGACCTACAAGAAAGCCCCCGTTGTAACGCGCTGTTCCTCATGTCTGGATCTGCAAGCACAAGAGGGCCCAGCACCACCGTGTCCTTTAAACTCTTCGACTTATGCTTGTGGATGTTGCATTCTGGCAGAGCCAGACAATTCATGTTTCTTCCACCCAAAACCAAAACCCTAACTTGCACCGTGAAAATAACTACCCGCACATGCACAGAAGGTCCTCGTTTTTGCGCTTCGATAACGCTAAAACACGCAGAGGGTTGTCGTTCGTGCATGTTCGTGCGATCACGACTGCACACGCAGAAGGTCCTCAATTTTTGCGTTTCGACAACG